CAGAAGGTTCCCCCAAATCACAATTCAACGAAGAAGGTGTTGATGGACAAACGTTTACTGCCGGAAAATAGACTGTAAAGAGGCTGTGTAGTGTGCCAACCGCCAATACGTCTGCTCTGCAGCTGTGAATGCGAAGTTGTGTGTTTGCTGCAGTAAGGCCTTGCTTGACGGGCCGTGGAAGAGTAATCAGTCCTCTGCCGCCAATCAGACGATGCGGAATTATCGATTGCCTATGAGTGTATGCGTGTATGAAGAGGCGAGCTGGTCGATAACACGCGGAGTAGATGACTAAGCACGTGTGTAAGCCCTGGAAGGGCGAAATCAGAGTCAGTGCGGCAAGTTCCCATAACGTCAAATGCCGTAATCGCATCTCCACTAGGGTTGAATATCCGGGAAAACCGGTGACTGGTTGAACGGAGCATTAGAGTTCTCTTTGATATTGCCTGACTCTTAAAAGCGTAGACCAGCTAAAGCACGCGTTCTGGCTTTCGAAGTTTGCTCTTATCACACCCTGAGAGGACTCCGTATATATTCCCATCGAAATCTTACTGGTATTATTACAGAGAATGCAGTAGTTTTAATCTAGATTGTTGTCAACAGGTGACTCTACTTAAAAGCAGACGTCCACCTGTTCTGCAAGGTTTTCTTTAGGTTTAGTCATTTATACTTCTGACATTTTCTGCTTTATTTTTGAAGCCGGCAGTCACGCCAGATCCCCTCAAGGATAGCCACCTTTTCTTCATTCGAGGTGGAGATGACAAATTGTCGTCATCAAGTAAAAACTAGAGATGCATCGTTGCTCATGCGCTGGAGCGCACTCTCGGTCGCCACCGTCTCATGTACTCCTTGTGCTAACGCTGTTGTACAAATGTTTGCATTTTCTTCATTACACTCTCTGCTGTACGATCATCTTCTACCCATCTCCCCACTGGATCCTTCACATAGAGAAACGATTATTCCGTTATCGCAGGAAGTTAAGTTGATAGGTAAAACCCTTGCCATTGAGATCTTCAGACCCGATTTATTGTGGAAGGAGAGAAAGTGGGAGCCCAGAGTCGAAGGAATAGTTTATTTTGTATAGAAGAATTGGAGAAAAGGTAGGAGATAGTTGACTGTCGGACTAGTGCACGTCCAGTCGCGAAGGGAGCTTGGTCTAAAGTGTTTGAGCCTAGCCACAGGCATCACAATAATGTCAATTGTGAATTAACCTATAAAGGTGACTGACTAAGCAGCAGGAGGCAAACTAATGCGCTCCGTGTTAGTGGACCGCGCGAGACAATCTTTCACGTGGAGCATGCAACTGTCTTAAAGGTAAGTCGAGACTTACAATCACGTGACCTCAAACGTGGCGTGGCAGGGGAGGTCACCACACCACTTCACAGGGACCGCTGGAGACGTCTTATTCAGGGTTCCCTGGACGAAAGCCCTAACAACTGTGCCGAAGTAAGGCTCGTCTGTCACTGGACTCAATTCTTCGGACGCAAAAAGGCAGAGCTGGATGGTGTTGGGTGTTAATGTTGTGGATCTGTCTTAAGACGTTCAAATTAATACCACGC